TGCGGAAAGACAGAGGAGGGATGAAGCAGTGCAAATATTGTAGAGGGAAGCGTCCGAAGGGGCCCCGGGATTGCCCAACAGAGCCCCGAGACAGTCCAAGCCCACAGACCCTCGAGACGCGCCCGGACAGTCCAGGAGTGTCACAGATGCCTCCAAGAGGCTCCCAAAATACTCCCAGGAAGAGGAGGAGGAGGAGGAGGAGGAGGAGGAGGAGGAGGAGGAGGAGGAGGAGGAGGAGGAGGAGGAGGGGGCTCCCCAAATTCTCCTACAGAGGGCCTCACACTTGACGGCTCACGACATTCATCATATCTTTCAATGGCGGGGTGGTCCCGCTTCGTTCCTCCTCGCACGTGTCCTCTTTCATCTCCTCCTCGTGCCTGTCTTCCTATTCGTTCTCCTCGTGATCCCCTCGCAGCCCTCCCCGCCATCCACGCTGTCATCCTCGTCATCCACCGCCTTGTCGTCGCCATCATCCTTTTCTTCTTTTCCCCCCACGAGCCCACACGGACAAAATCGGCGCTTCCCGTTCTTGTCCGATCAGGTTTCAGGTTCAAGGGCGCAAGGAGGAGGATGCGGAAAGACATAGGAGGTATGAAGCAGTACGAATATTGAGGAGGGAGGCGTTCCTTGTTTAGCAACGTGGACGCTCAGAAGTTTGCGCTCCTTCCCTGCGACCACGTATGCATCCCGAGCATTTTCTTTGTTATGGCGCCGGGGCCCTGTGAGTCTCCCCAGATATAGTTTGCCCGTGCCGTGATTTTTCGCGGCGCGAGGGGGTGGTGCACCACTACTCCGCCTTTCCTCCTCCTCGCCTTATCATTTCGCTTCGCTCCTTTCGCCTGCCCATGCTGCATCACTGTTGGGATTTGGATATGTGGTATCTTGGGAAGTGAAATCGTTAAGATGGTAAGGCCACGAAGTGTCATACGTGCGCACGCGGAACGGAGCGTGAATCTACAGAAAGGCGTTGGATAAATGTACAAGGTCAGTGGGGATTTCTGGGAGATTCGCGCAAGTCTCTGGAATGATCTGTGGGCTTATTGGGGGTCTTTCAGAGGCGTCTGGGGCTCGTGGGCTCCTTGTTGCATTGGTTGTGATGCCCAACGCTCCTTTCTTTTAGGCGTGCCAGAGTCTTACTCGGCGCGCTGTCGGTTGTATGGTGGGGCTCTCTCTTCCAGCTCTTCGGGGCTCCGCCTGAAGTTGTCTTGGGCGATGTGGGAGCCGCATTGATGCCCCGGACGCCCACGGGAAACGAAAAGAGGACTAATCCAACATTCTTAGGAGCTTGAAAGATTTGAGCCTCACGGGGGCCTCTTGAGGACCGTCTTGGACCATCCCACCCCGCGTGCGCGGACTCGCAAGATACAAGCACTTTGCGCCTCCCACCGGAGATCTCAGCACGCCTTTGTCCCGTGGGGCCAGCGAGTCACCTTCCTCCATTCCTTTTCCTGTCTCGTTTGTGACCGAAAGCGCCCCGCGGACCCGTAGATGGGTGAGTTTGAGCTCTGACCGGGATCTCAAGGCGAACCCGACGAGAGGCCTCGAGGCTTCCAGAGCACCTCGATCCTCCTCGCCCCCGCCCCGGGCTGCGAAAAAACCCCCCCCCCCCCCCCCCGCCGACCCCTCCCGGGATCGATCGTGACTCGATCTCACGAGCGAAGAGCGTATCCAGATCCACGCTCTCGCGGTCTGGATTCCGGGCCGCGATCCCGCAGATCCGCGGTCGCACAGACACGCTCTTCGCGGGACATCCGCGAACAAAACGCCCCGCATTCGCGGGGTCGCGGCCCAGGGGCCCAGCCCGCGAGGCCGCGGATACGGATATGCCTTTCGGCCACGATCAAGTGTCATCATATCGATGTATGACAGCCACGCGGCCAGAAGCCAGCCTTTCAAAGGCAGACGATGACGAAAAACCTCATCGAGCCTCAGTGAGCGTTTTGTAGCCGGAGTTCGCGTTAAATTTCAGACTCGGTCTTGTCACTTCTCTGACGGCCCCGCCAGGCCAACCCGCGCCCCCCAAGCTCAAGCTTGACGTCTCCCCGAATCTTCGGGGGCGTTCAAGAGGGGAGGGTGGACTCCACGGTAGGGGTGTGTGTGTGTGTGTGTGTGTGTGCGTGTGTGCGTGTGTGTGTGCGTGTGTGTGTGTGTGTGTGTGTGTGTGTGTGTGGAAGTCATGGCCGGTGGCATGGCGTATCCCCGATGTCAGGCCCCCCTCTGCTTTCGGCGCGTCCCCTGGCGCCCCCTCGGCTGAGCACGTGCCTCGTGCCAGGGTGCGCTCTGGCCCGCCCCTCCGGCGCACCCGACATCCCACCCGGGCGGGAGCCACCCGGGTCCCCGGAGCAGGGGCCAGCAGGGCCCCGGGGCCCGATTTGGTCGGACGGACTCCGCGCAAGCGATATGAACGAATGCACGAGGCAGCTCGCTAGTGATCTAGGCTCGAACGGGGAGCTCGCAGACGCTGGTGAGTGGGGCATCGGGGAGAGCAAGAGCACCACGCCCGTGGAGGAGGATGTCGATGCAGAGGTTGGGCGCAAGAAAGGCAGCTGCACCAGAGCGGCGCCGCCGCGCGACGAAATAGGCGCAGACCCTCGGGAGGAGAAGGACGGATATGAAGACCATGATCGTTTCTCCCCGAGTCAGGCCGCCCCTGCTGCCGACGCTGACTGACTGACTTCTGCCGCCCCTCGGCCTGCGCTGGATCTTTTGCGATCTATGCGGACTTCTCTGGAGATCTGTGGATTCACCTCGACGCATCAGGATTTGCCTTGCTTAGCTGCCGACGTGCGCGTGACAGCCGTTTTAGGGTCCACGCTGCGCACGCTCTCGCTCTCTCTCTCTCTCTCTCTGCTCGGATTTCTTGCCTTCGCTTCCTTCTGCTTCATGGCTGGTGCGTAGAATGGTAGAGTCCGCCTTCCCTCAGTGGGCAATCCTGAAAATATTTGCCTCGAGTTGTCTGGTTTGGCACCCGCATGTCCTCAGGGAACCCTGGCGGCCTCATACTTCATCGAGAAACATAACCCCTCACACTTCTATACACGATGAAGACGTGGCCTCACTTATGTCCTTGTGCTCGCATGAGGGGTAATACTTTTGGGGGGCTTGGTTTGCTACATCTGCCGAAGAGGACTCCATCTATCCCTGACGTGTTGTGCTTATTAGTTTAGATCCGTTCCCAAATTAGGCGTTCCAAACAGGGTCTTGCCCTCGAGGATCGAAGGAGTTGCCATCTCTTCCTCGGCGGAAGGCGGCGGAAGGGCGGCGGAAGGCCGGCGGAAGTAGAACGAGGCCGCATCCGCCAGCGGAAGCCGGCGGGAGCTCGGCGGAAGACGGCGGAAGTAAAAGATGTGCCCCGGAGAGATGAACACGTTGTTTGGTTCAGGGTTTCCGAAATCGCCCAGAGGTTTACAGCGAGCGGCTCGAATAAGGAACACTTGCTTTTCAAAAGGGGCTCTGTCGTTCCTTAGGCTCGCATGCGTTCTTTGACCATTCCTCATGCGTTACTTGTTACATAGATCGTTCCTTATGCGTCCCTCCTTGGGAAAAAAGGGGCTTTCGTTCCTGATGTACCGCTTCTCATGCGTCACTTGTTATGTATCGTTCTTTATGCGCTACCCCTGGGGAAGAAAGGGGCCTCGCTCCTGCGTTTTACTTCTCGGCAGGAAAAAAGGGCCTCGTTCCTGAGGTATCGTGCCTTAGGCCAGGCCGATGCCTGCCGGGGGGGGGGGGGGGGGGGGGGGGGGGGGGGGGGGGGGGGGGGGGCCGTGCGGCCGCCCCACGCCCGCGCCGCGGGGCGAGCTGCGCCGCGCCCTCTCCCCCCGGCCCGGGGGGGGAGCCGCGGCCCGGCCTCGTCGCCGCCGCCGCCGCCGTGGCGGCCGCCCTCGCCCGCCGCTGCAGTCGTGGCCGGGTTTTTTTTGGGGGGGGAGGTTTCTTACCAGCCTGGAGCATATCCCTCTCCCTATGCTGGGCACCTCCTCATCACGATGCCAATCTTAGGGGTTCCCTCATTTTTTGAGGGCGAGTCCCTAAGATTGTCATCGCCTTTGGGCGTGCCAATCTTAGGGATAGGGATACGTTCGAGGCCGGTAAGTTTCGCGAGCTGTCGGTCAGGAGGGGGGAAAACACGCAGACACAGTGAATCGTCGATTCCCAGGAAAATGTGGAAACACATGGGACGTGGGGTGAAGACAAAAACCCAGAAAATATAGGAACATATGGGGCATCCGGTTATTTTTGTGTATTGATTTGTGTGTTCCAGGGCCCCTTCAGTCGGAGGTTCCTTTCGCAGCCAGCGGGAGGGCCAATGTTGCGACACCCCTCACGAGCACCGCGGCCCCCCTGACGACCACGGCCGCCACGGTCCCGACGCCCTCGTCCGCCGCTGCAGTCGAGGCCGTCAGGATCGTGGCGGTCGTGGTGGCCGTGGTCGCGTCGCTGATCCCTAGGACGTGTGTGAGCCCAAGGCGTGCGTTCGCCCCGCCCGGTTTCGCCGATAGCGCGCAGCCGGCGTCGTATTGAAGGGCCTCGGTGGACAAACACACGTTGGCGCTAGCACGCGTTCTGAGGATCATCGGTCGCGGCCGTGGTTGTCGTCGTGGTCGACATCGTGGCCGTGGTCGTGGTCGTCGTGGTAGTCTCACGTCGGGCATGCCCTCTTCAGGAGGAATCTTCCAGCAGGGTCCACGAATTGTCCAGGGGCGATGCTCCTGCTATTCTTGGCTTCTTTTTTTCCCTCCGAAGCCTGCCCGTAGGGGGACCTGCCCGATCTCGCGGT